CTAGGAAGAAAATAGCATCAGTTGCTGTCTAAGCAGAGCCAGGAGTCAATAGTAGCCCACGAGCTTTCCATGGGAAACCATGTGGAGAAATGCTCCCCAGGACCCCAAATACTGCTCAGCTCACTTTTCATTGCATCTCCAGGGTCCTGTTCCTGAATGCCTCAAGAAACAGCTTGGCCCCAGAAATCTCTAGAATCTTCAAGGGGGAAAAATAAATAACCAAAACTCAATTTATACCAAAGCTGTAAAGTTTTATGGCCTTTGAAATCCAGATCTCAGCACATTGCCTGGCACATAGTAATTATTCAAAACTGCATGCGGAACTGATATTAACTTGGCTAAAAAATATTCTCTCTGGTTTACCCCTTTCTAGCTTCCTAGCTGCATCTCTTGCTTGCCTCACACATGAACTTTTTATCCCAGCTATACTAAGCTAATTAAAAGCTTTCCCTAATTTGGTCCTGCTTGCCTAGTGTTATATCTTTGTTAAATATACGGTAAGCAGCTGAAATGTCTGTCTTCTTTTATGCCTGGCTAACTCTCACTTTCTCATAGCAACATGACTGAGGCATCACCTCTGCTGGGCTACCTCCACTAACAGACACAGTTTGATTCTGATATTCTCCTCCCTTCCTGATATTCTTCTCCTTCCTTACCAACACTCTCTCACATTTCTCCTCAGTGATCTGTAATCATTGATTCACTTACTTATGTTTTTCATTATGCTTGATCCCTGTGAGGCTGAAGACATGTCACAATCATCCTTTCATCTAAAGCAAAAACCAGTAACAACGTATGAAGAGAGCTCAATAAATGTCTGTTAGGAAAAAAAAAAAGTAGAAATTCTTATTATATAACTTGACATTATTAGATTCACTTTTTAATGTAATTTGATTTCCCTGTTCAAAAATAAGTTTCTTTTATAAATATATAATATACTGGCTAGCTCTATCTTGAGGAGTAGACAATGCCATTGCAACATTTTTATATTAATATCATTTTGATGGGATATACTAAAATCCAATAGAAAATATTTCGTTTTTAAGCAATTGTGAATTTATTCTTTCTTTAAGGCATAAAGATAGATGACAGCTATACATAATATGGAGAGTTTGATGAATGCAGTCAAGCTTAAGATTGAGGTTTTAAGACCATTTGGAAAGATTAAGAATACCATGCTAGATGTTCTTTGAATTCTACAAAGAACTATGCAAATCCACCATCTATTAGCAAAGATATAGCTAAATAATCATTTAAACATTTCAACAAATTGTTTTTCAGAAAAATGATAATCATTGTAGAATACAAATAGCATTAAATTAGAACACAGAAGCTGTTTATCACTAAACCTGTTCAGAATCTCACTTTTGTCATCTATAAAACAGAGACCCTGGACTCCCTTCTAACTAGTGCAGCTAGTCCTGATTAAGAGTACTTAAACACGTGCTTCTTTTGTTGTTGAGTATTTTTCATGCAACAGTGAGTCTAGTAGTGGGCAGGCTGGGTCTGAGGCAGCTGTTGCATTATGCCATTCAGGGTGTGGGTCCTGCTGTTCTGCGGAGCTATCCTCAGCATGCGGCCTCCATACTCCTGTTTGCCAAATGTCTACCACACCTAGGAGAATAAAGATTGCATTCCAGAAGAAGAAAGAGGGAAAGGAAAAGAGGAAAAAAGTTTTCCCACCAAATTTCTTTCTGTTGAAGAGTTTTCTGGAATCATTGTTCATAGACTTCCTTTTAATTTTATTATCTAAAACTAGGCCACATGTCCAACAGTAGCTACAAAGGAAGATGGGGAAGTGAGCTTTTTGGGGGATGTGGGGGAGCATTACTGGGGATTAAACTCAGGGGCACTGAGCCACATCTCCAGCCCTATTTTGTATTTTATTTAGAGACATGGTCTCACTGAGTTCCTTAGCACCTCATTTTTGTTGAGGCTGGCTTTGAACTCACTATCCTCCTGTGAGGATCTGAAGCTGCTGGGATTACAGGCATATACCAGTGCGCCCAGAGAGAAGTGAACTTTTTAGCTGGGCACATTTCTGTCCAGCAAGAAAGTCATGTCTATTAATTAGATGTGGGGTAGAGACAGCAGTATCTTCTACCCAGTTATAACACACTTCAGCTTCATTCATGGTACACCTGTTTCCTTTTAAATCTGTATTGTGCTTAGAATAGTCACAGTGCATGTAATTGCAACTATAAGTACTATACAAATTAAAAAGTGCTTTATAGGAACAAAAAACTAATGGAAAATTAACTTCCAAATATGTACAGGACTTAACTGTTTAATAGATGTACAAAAATTTCTGGGAAAATGGAACATTAAAATAGACTAAATATTTCAATTGAAAGATAGTCAACAAACAAGTAAAGCAACTATCTCCCTATTGAACAAAGAGAGAGAGAGAAAGAGAGAAATGAAAGGAAAGGAAATACAAAGGAAATAAGGTAAAATAATGCTTTTCTAATAAACTGAAAAATTGACAACAAACAATATCAAGAGTTGTGGATGGTGTGGAGAAGCAAGCAACCTCATAAATTCCTAGGGAGATTATAAATTAACACACCATTTTTGGAAGAAAACAGGAAGCTATTTATGAAACTATTTATATACATATTAATTCAGATATTTTACTTCAAAGAATCTGGCTCCCAGTCTTATTCTCTTATTCTTACAAAAGAGCTTATATATATATATATATATATATATATATATATATACACCTGCTAATTGCAGCATTTTTTAAATGGTGAAATATTGTAAATAACTTAAACATCCATCAAAAGAGAAAGACATTTATAATGGTCTCTTGATTTGTAGGCATCTGAAACCTTTAAAAAGGAATTAGGGGGATATCCATACTATGGACATGGTCAGGTGATATAAAACAGATTGCTAAGTAGAAATTGGAGAAAATATGAATAATTTTATACTATATTATTTTAAATATAGGCAAGAAAGTAATCTGGGTAGTTGTGTGTCTGTGTGGCTATATGGTGTGTACATGTAAAGGACTGAAAGAACAAACAAACTTAACAGTGGGGATCACTGGGCAAGGGAGTGAGATATTGGAAATGAGGGAGAATCCCATTTACTCTGTCTTGTAGTATTTTTTTTCATTTTTAAAGCAATGAAAGTACTTTTAAATAGAACAATTAATTAATTTTTAGAAAATGTTTTTAAGTTGGAGAGTCTAACATCTCAATCTGGGAAACTTCAAGGAAAGGACTGTGTTGGCACAGTGAGCAGAATATAACGTCATCCCAGCTCCTTGAGAGGATGTCTTAGGAAGCTCACTTGAGCCTAGGAGATCAAGGCCTGTGGGAGCAGCACAGCAAGATATTGTCTCAAAAAAATAATCTAAAAGAGAAATAATATCATGAAGCAACCCATTTCATGCAGCCCAACTGTTCAAGAAGAGGAAATCAAGGTTAATGCAGAAACCACAGCCATATCCAAGAAGACTGCCCAAATCAGCATCTTGAAGCTATTTCCCTACATGTTCCTCTAGTAGGTTTATATTTTCTTTTGTTACTTTTGTGTATTGGATTCACTCTTAGTTGAATCTTTTGTACAAGGGGAGATAATGGTCCATTTCCATACTTCTGCTGTGGCTAGATAGTTTTCCCAGTAGAGATGTTAGAAGAAACTGTCCTTTTCCCATTGTCTGCTCTTGGCAACTTTGTTGAAAATCAGTTGACCATAGATGCATACATAGGTTTATTTCTGGGCTTTCAATCCTTATTGTTTGATGTGTCTGTTTTTGTGCCAGAATAATGCTTTCCGATTACTATATTTTTTAAATAAGGGGCTCGATGCCTCCAGCTTTGTGCTTTTTTGTTCAAAATTCCTTTGGCCATTTTAGGTATTTTTATGATTTCATAGAGATTTTTGAATTGTTTTTATTTCTTGTTTATAACTCCAAAAACACAGCCAACAAAAGTGAATGTAAACAAATGGGATTGTATCAGACTTTAAAGCTTCTACACAGCAAAGGAAAAAACATGGTGAAGAGAAAACCTGTGGGATGGGAGACAATATTTCAAACCATATAAATTTTTTTTGGTATGGAGCTAAAATCCAAACTATATAATATATTCAAATAACTCAGCAACAAAACTAATAACCCAATTGAAAAATGAACAAAGGACCTGAACACATAGGTTCTTTTATATTTTATTCATATTCTCAAAAAAGACATATGAATGGTCAATAGACATATGGAAACATGCTTAGTATCACCAATTACCAGGGATATACAAATAAAAACTAGAATGAGATATCACCTCACACTTGTTAGAATGACTATTATCAAAAAGATAACAAGTATTAATGAAGATAGGGAGATAAAGGAATCCTGGCATACTGTTGATAGGGGTATAAATTTGTACAGTCATTAATGAAAACATGTGCAGCTACCTCTAAAAGTAAAAGTTAATGTGCTGCAATAAACATAGGACTGCAGATATCTCTTTAATGTACTAATTTCCTTTCCTTTGTATATACCCAGAAGATTACTATAACATTTGGTGGTTCTATATTTCCTATTTTGAAAAATCATCATACTCACCTGTACTAGTTATTTTGTGTCCTTTGGATAGTAGTCATTCTTACCGAAGTGAGACAATATCTCATTTTGGATTCAATTTCCATTTTGCTAATGATTAGCAATATTGAGCATTTTCTCATGGAACTATGGGCCATTGGTATGACTTCTCTTGAGAAATGTCTATTTAGATCTATTGCCCACTTTTTAATTAGGTTATTTTTATTGAAATTTTGAAGTTCTGAATATATTTTGGATATTAACCCCTTATCAGAAATATAGTTTGCAAATATTTCTCTTATTCTGTAGGGTTTTTTCCCTTTATTCTATTATTTTCTTTGCTGAGAGAGTTTCTTAGTGTGTTATAATCCCATCTGTCTATTTTTTCCTTTTGTTTTAGGATCCTATCCAAAACAAAACAAATCTTTGCTCATTCCAATGTCTCTAAACATAAAAATTGGAATGTTTCACAAATTGTCATGTCATCTTTGCCTGGGGGCCATGCTCATCTTCTCTGTATCATTCCAATTTAGTGTATGTGCTGTGAAAGGAAGAACTGCATGATCTCACAAAAATAGTCTTAAAATGCCCAATTCATAGGAGTAGACACTAGAATGGTGATTATAAGTTGTAAGGAGAGATAAACATTCAAAGGTCAAAGGGCACAAAGTTTCAAATAGATGAAAGGAATAAATTTGGTGATCTATTGCACAGCATGGTGACTATAGTTAATAATAATGTACTATATATTTCAATATTACTAAAAAGTAGACTTGAAATGGTCTCATCACAAAAAATAAGCATATGAAGTGATGAATATGTTTATTGGCTTGATATAATAAGTCTGAAATGTCGTAAATATATATGCCACAAACATATAATTATGTCAATTAAAAATAAAATACCTTTAAAAAAGAAAGAAGGAAACCAAGCACTGGCTACTGTAGGCAGAGTTAGGCAAATCCTCATGCTTTCCAAACAAGGATGGGAAGGAATCACACAGACACACTCTCTCTCTCTCTCTCTCTCTCTCTCTCTCTCTCTCTCTGGCTTAAATTTATTTTAAACCCATAACTGCACAGATGGTAGGTGAAAGGAAACATGACAAAAACTGTGTTCAAGTTTTCTTAGGAATAAAAAAATTAAACAAAATCCCTCTGAGTTAGTGCACAGCATTAAGCACTAAAGGCAATATTAAAAATCATCCCTAACACCATATTAAAATATTAGTATAATCAATGAGCCTTAAATAGTTGGTAATATGAACATTTTTAAAGAAAATATTTCACTCCATAAATTGCTCAAGTATTATTCAAATATCAGCAAAAGAGTTAATGAGTTCAATTATGCCTTTTCCTAATGTACACCTTAGATTTCCAAACTTTGATTCCCATCAGCTTACTCAATATACAAATAGTGTTAAAGGATAAAATCCACTTTTTCTTGTCAATTTGTGTATGCATGAATGTATGTATGTATGTGTGTGTGTATATATACACACACACATACACAAATAGAAAATAATAAAACAAATATCACCCATGTAACCATGTGAATTGATTGCTACATTTAGTTCTTATATTTTGTTCATTAAAGGAAATAAAAGAGTAAATAAATTTATATTTCTCTGGTGGTATTCCCTGCCTTATCTCTCCCTAGAAAATAATTAACCAGAATTCAGTAGTATATTTGTATGTGTGTACAAAAAAAACACACACAAAAAAAATTAATTCCAATTTTTTTGATGTGCCTTTGTATCCGATTCGCCAGAATTTTATTGAGGATTTTTGCATCTAGGTTCATCAGAGATATTGGTCTGTAGTTTTCTTTCTTTGAGGTGTCTTTGTCTGGTTTCGGAATCAGGGTGATGTTGGCCTCATAGAATGAATTTGGCACCATGATCAAGTAGGATTCATCCCTGGGATGCAAGGATGGTTCAATATACGGAAATCAATAAATGTTATTCACCACATCAATAGACTTAAAGATAAGAACCATATGATCATCTCAATAGATGCAGAAAAAGCATTCGACAAAGTACAGCACCCCTTTATGTTCAAAACATTAGAAAAACTAGGAATAACAGGAACTTACCTCGACATTGTAAAAGCTATCTATGCTAAGCCTCAGGCTAGCATCATTCTCAGTGGAGAAAAATTGAAGGCATTCCCCCTAAAATCTGGAACAAGACAGGGATGCCCTCTATCACCACTTCTATTCAATATAGTTCTCGAAACACTGGCCAGAGCAATTAGACAGACGAAAGAAATTAAAGGCATAAAAATAGGAAAGGAAGAACTTAAATTATCACTATTTGCAGGTGACATGATTCTATAACTAGAAGACCCAAAAGGGTCTACAAAAAAACTACTAGAACTAATAAATGAATTCAGCAAAGTGGCAGGATATAAAATCAACACGCATAAATCAAAGGCATTTCTGTATATCAGCGACAAAACTTCTGAAACGGAAATGAGGAAAAACACTCCATTCACAATATCCTCAAAAAAATAAAATACTTGGGAATCAACCTAACAAAAGAGGTGAAGGATTTATACAATGAAAACTACAAAACCCTAAAAAGAGAAGTAGAAGAAGATATTAGAAGATGGAAACATACCCTGTTCATGGATAGGCAGAACTAACATCATCAAAATGGCGATATTACCAAAAGTTCTCTATAGGTTTAATGCAATGCCAATCAAAATCCCAATGGCATTTCTTGTAGAAATAGATAAAGCAATCATGAAATTCATATGGAAAAATAAAAGACCCAGAATAGCAAAAGCAATTCTAAGCAGGAAGTGTGAATCAGGTGGTATAGCGATACCGGATTTAAAACTATATTACAGAGCAATAGTAACAAAAACAGCATGGTACTGGTACCAAAACAGGCGGGTGGACCAATGGTACAGAATAGAGGACACAGAGACTAATCCACAAAGCTACAACTATCTTATATTTGATAAAGGAGATAAAAGCATGCAATGGAGGAAGGATAGCATCTTCAACAAATGGTGTTGGGAAAACTGGAAATCCATATGCAACAAAATGAAACTGAATCCCCTCCTCTCGCCATGCACAAAAGTTAACTCAAAGTGGATCAAGGAGCTAGATATCAAATCAGAGACTCCACGTCTGATAGAAGAAAAAGTTGGCTCCGATCTACATATTGTGGGGTCGGGCTCCAAATTCCTTAATAGGACACCCATAGCACAAAAGTTAATAACAAGAATCAATAAATGGGACTTACTTAAACTGAAAAGTTTTTTCTCAGCAAGAGAAACAATAAGAGAGGTAAATAGGGAGCCTACATCATGGGAACAAATTTTTACTCCTCACACTTCAGATAGAGCCCTAATATCCAGAGTATACAAAGAACTCAAAAAATTAAACAATAAGAAAACAAATAACCCAATCAACAAATGGGCCAAAGACCTGAACAGACACTTCTCAGAGGAGGACATACAATCAATCAACAAGTACATGAAAAAATGCTCACCATCACTAGCAGTCAGAGAAATGCAAATCAAAACCACCCTAAGATACCATCTCACTCCAGTAAGATTGGCAGCCATTATGAAGTCAAACAACAACAAGTGCTGGAGAGGATGTGGGGAAAAGGGTACTCTTGTACATTGCTGGTGGGACTGCAAACTGGTGCGGCCAATTTGGAAAGCAGTATGGAGATTCCTGGGAAAGCTGAGAATGGAACCACCATTTGACCCAGCTATTGCCCTTCTCAGACTATTCCCTGAAGACCTTAAAAGAGCGTACTACAGGGATACTGCTACATCGATGTTCATAGCAGCACAATTCACAATCGCTAGACTGTGGAACCAACCCAGATGCCCTTCAATAGATGAATGGATAAAAAAAATGTGGCATTTATACACAATGGAGTATTATACAGCACTAAAAAATGACAAAATCATGGAATTTGCAGGGAAATGGATGGCACTAGAGCAGATTATGCTTAGTGAAGCTAGCCAATCCCTAAAAAACAAATACCAAATGTCTTCTTTGATATAATGAGAGCAACTAAGAACAAAGCAGGGAGGAAGAGCAGGAAGAAAAGATTAACATTAAACAGATACATGAGGTGGGAGGGAAAGGGAGAGAAAAGGGAAATTGCATGGTAATGGAGGGAGATCCTCATTGTTATACAAAATTACATATAAGAGGTTGTGAGGGGAATGGGAAAATAAACAAGGAGAGAAATGAATTACAGTAGATGGGGTAGAGAGAGAAGATGGGAGGGGAGGGGAGGGGAGATAGTAGAGGATAGGAAAGGTAGCAGAATACAACAGTTACTAATAGGGCATTATGTAAAACTGTAGATGTGTAACCGACGTGATTCTGCAATCTGTATTTGGGGTAAAATTGGGAGTTCAAAACCCACTTGAATCAAATGTATGAAATATGATATGTCAAGAGCTTTGTAATGTTTTGAACAACCAATAAAAAAAATAAAATAAAAATAAAAATAAAAAAATTAATTCCAGACATTTAAAAAATAATTGCATCATACATTTTTGTATTTATGTATATTCATAATTATATGCATATATATATATTTAAATTTTTTAGTTGTTGATGGACCTTTATTTTATTTATTTTTATGTGGTATTGGGAATTGAACCCAGTGCTTCACACATGCCAGGCAAGTGGTCTACCACTGAGCTACAATCCCAGCCCTTGTAATTATATTTTTATCTTACAAAAATATGTCATTGCTAAATATTTTTGTGCAACTTATATTTTTATTCAATATTATTTTTATCAATTCTATGCATATTCAAATAGACCTCATCATTGTAGCAACAATAGCATATTTAAAATTTATTTTTAATGTATAGCATTTTAAAATATGTCATTTTTTTTAAAGAGCTTATATACAAATGACTTTTTTTTTCTGCATCTCTCATCTTCTTTTCTATCTAGGTCTGTATCCCAACATGTGCACGTGCACACGTGTGCTCACACACAAACACACAGACACATACACCCACAAATGAGCTTTTATTTTTGGACTCTAAACCCCCAAATTCTGTTGGCAAATGTCCTGAAATCAAGCTTAGCTTTCTGGCTCTTAGTGTACAACAGACTGAGATACAACAGGGACAGGAAACACCTGAACTTTCTGCAGGTCCCTTTGGGTACATTAATTAGATATACTCAGAAAATGTTTGCAGCTGAGTGTGGATATATAAAAATTTAGGAGCTATGTTTAGAATGTCTTGTTCATCTTTGCAAAGGCACAATAATCCCAATGACACCTTAGGAACAAAACCTTAACAGATAGGGTAGATGAATCACCAACTTAACAGGGTGTTTCCATGGACAATGCTCCTCAGCTGTGTGATTTGGAAAGAAAAATAAAAAGGAAGGCAAGCACATTAGAGAAAACTGAGCTCTCTCAGAAAGCTTTACTGTTGGAATCAAGATTTTTTTAGATGAAAACAAGCTGCAGCCTCCCCGTCTTAGTTCCCATATCTTCCATTTCTGGAAGTAATTAGTTTTACATTCTTTTCCTTCGAACACATACAAACACACA